CCTACAAGACAGAAGAAAAGCCCCCCCCCCCTTTTTTTTTAATACCATTCACTGCAAGTGCTGAGAGCATGAATGTCCAGGATGACACTGATGCTGACGGGCTATAGAATTATCAGGAACACCACCTAACCAACTTCATCTACTGTTCTGTGAAGGAATCCACTCCAAGTGAGCAAAGTGCCAGGATGACAGCCATGGGCAATAAGAGTGAGAATATGTCTTGACCTGATCAGCAAATTGACTTTGACTTTCAACTACACCCCTCCAGGCTGTCAGATGATTGAAATGTCTCTGGTGCTATAGCTCTGGATTAATGAAAATCAAGTTTCATCCTCAGACAAGCAGTGAAGGAGGAAAATTGAGCCAGTTGATTTTGTTTTTAGCTTACTGCTGTCCTGGTCAGAAGAAATTATTGGTCCATTGCTTAAATTACTAAGAACAGCAAGATATTTGTAAATTATCTTACAAAAACCAACTTACAATAAGAAGAAAAAAAGTGATCTGAGTAATTCTTACCATTTGGTAAGTTTTGCCAGCACTAGACTAGGTAATCCTTTAACTACCTGTCCTTCCAACTCTGATTCTATAGTATCTGGATATTTCATAAGGATGTTCTAAAAATTAATAAACATATTAACAAATATGCCCATCTCCCAACCCCAATACCATTCATACCTTTTAAACACCCAAGAAAATATTCTCCTAGATACTAGGCAAGTGGAATACTTTATTTGGTGGTGAAAACAAAGCTCTTAATATTATATTCTCAGCACATTAATATGGAAGGACTTGTGTTGTAGGAAGAGAGAATTGTACACCTAATATTTTAAGTGAAAACTATACACTGCATTCTTCCTTTGAAGAACAACATTATCTGGTGATTCCACCTGTTCCTAGCTAAGAAATAGCTAGAAAACAGTCCGGCTAAGTCCCTAGCAGCTATAAAACTGCTCAGTAATACTGGAATGCAACTGTTTCAAAGCTAAAAGTAAAAAAACAAAAGAACAATAACTGGTTACTAATGCTTCAAATTCAACAGTGTCAACAACTAGGTGGCTAAGAGCCCCCAATATGTTAGGAAGGTTTTATCAGGTAAATCAAAGCCTGTAGAATGCTTTCCGCACACAAAGGTAGCAATCTTTAATTTAGCCCTTCCTTCCGCTACACCATAGACCACTCCTCTAAAATTCCCATAATCTTCTAGTGGGATTTAGTTGCATTGTCTTATTTAAATGGATAAGTAACAAAATAACAAAAAGAAAAAGAGAGAGAGCCTGATTGCCTGGAGTGCAGAGGGGCAGAGCTGCAAAGGATATTCATGGGTGAGCAACTATCACATAGGTGGCTACAAAAAGTGTCAATAAAATCAAGATTAAAACACAAAACGGAGTTTAAATCACTCTTGCCACACAAACAGATAAAGAACTAAGAGTAAAACATTACCACATACTTGAGTTATTAGGAAAACAGTGCAGAGTAGCTCCCTTAAAGCACTACATATTGGTACACTAGGTTAGTATCAACCATGTTCCAAATGAATCTTGATGCTTGACATGGAAATACTAATTAGTTACTAATTTGGCACACAGGCCAAAAAGTGATTTGCTTTAATGGCAAAAGTGGGGACACCAACTACTTTGTACAACATCACAGAAGCACTGAGTTTAAAGTCAGACATATGCATAAGTACATTTCTCGGTCTGTCGCCCAGCAGGCTCTGAGGCAATGTTTTGACCAAACTTTACACTCAATTAAAATAGAAATGTAAAATCAGGATCCAGGGGGCCAGCATAATAGTGTGGTTAAGAGCACAAGGTTGCCTGTCACACAGACCTGAGTTAAAATCCCAAATCAACAAATTACCGTGTGACCTTGAACAAGTCACTTAAACTAAACTTCCTCGTTTGTAAGCGGAGAGAATGCTTCCCACTGTTATTAAAAAACTTAAACAAGGTGATTCATGTAAAGCATTCAGCCTTATACCTGGCACAGAGGAAATAAGCAATAATAATAAGCTAGCTGTAAAAGTAGCATGATTACTGTCTTTCAACCTCAAGTAGAGCTGAGCTTCCTGGCACCCAGACAAAAGTTCTAATCATTAGAAAAAAGACATTCCCGTATACTCATAAAAAGGTAGTTTTTCATTTCTTTCACGTTACAGGAACTTCCCCCCTCCTTAGTAAAGAATACTTCAGACTAATAACCTACAACTATACACAAGAAAGGCTTCAATGCAGACATTCTTCATTAGGAAGGACAATTTTCATGATCTAACCAGTTTCGGGGAGTTAATAGTTGGTACTGTTAGGAGAAAGAGAGAAAGAGAAGCATAAAAAGTCCAACCCACACACCACTCTGTTCAATAGAGAAAAAACAACAGTTGACTATTTGCATTGTTTCGTAATTGAGTTAGAAAATGAAGAAGAAAGCAATCAGGTGAAATATTTTAACTCACACACAGCTACTAGTAAGGCTAACGTGACCAAACTCATCAAAAAATATCAAGAGCCTGGTTGGGGTTGCTCAGTAATTGAGCATCAACCCATTGAACCAAGAGGTCAACGATTCAATTCCTGATTTGGACACATGCCCAGGTTGAAGACAATCCACTAGGGGATGTGCAAAAGGCAAGAGGATGTTTCTCTCTCATGGACGTTTCTGTCTATCTCTCTCCCTTCCTCTGGCTCTGAAAATCAATAAAAACATATTTTTCAAAAATGATCAAAAAAAGGTGAAAAATCAGTTATTCCCAGAGTTTAAGTAACACCTGCTCATTCTACCCTTTTAAGGTCATGGCTCAAATTTCCCAACTGCAACTTTTTCCATTCTTCCAAACATGCCTCTAGCTTGAATGTACCTTTAACTTGTACTGCCTCCTTGACTAAATACATTACTCTGGCTAAGGGCAAAAATAAAATCTTGTGCATTATTATTTTTTTAGAATTCAAGAGAAAATATCACTACTTCAATTACTTAATATGTTTCAAAAATACTGAGAGGTCATTTGGGGGGTGGGGGAGAGAGGAGTTCCTCATGAAAATAAATCAGTCAGGAAAACTGTTCAAGGACAGCCAAAACCAAATTTCAACAAAAATGCAATTTTGAAATTTTGAGTTAGGAGCAGGCTTTAATGAGTTGTGAGGTACAGAACTAGATTTCAAAGAAAAAAGATACATAAGCGAATTAAAGGCTTCTGCAGGGAGTACACACTGCTATCACTCTATCAGATGTGCAAAAATTCTTAATAAAAAAAAAACACAGAGAATAAGTTCTCTGTCTCAATATTGGGAAATCTAACAACAGAAAGAAAATCAAGTATTTCACAGGCATTTTTGAGCATTTAAAGATATCCTCCTGTATTACAGATATTACTACAAAATGAAAGAAGAGACTGGTTAGATGGTCTAATTAACAACTCGGCAGTGAAAGAATAATGCCATGGCCAAAAGAAGCTCTGTCGTCTAGAGATAATGGACAGTTTCTTTTGACTGTTTAAGAACCCAGAAGAATCTCCTCCTGCTTTTACATGCAAATTACCAATCTCAGAAGCACATTCTGCTCTATTCCTTTATCTGAAAATTACTGCAATGTGATCCTCTTCCAGAGAGGACCCCATTCAGGCAGGAAAATGGAATTAGGACAACCACACACTCAGTAAGTGTGCTGAGATCATCGTCACATACAGTGAGCTGTCCCCCTTACACGTGGTTTTTTTCAGTGGAGAGACCAATATCTGTGATCAAAATTCTATTTGAAGGAAGAAAACTTAGTTTTGAGGATTATCAGGTTTACAAAGTTTATGTAGATATTTTAATATGTGCATATGCAATTTAAAAACTCAACATCCCTTGGTTTTCAAATAACGACACAAGCTATTTAATGGAAACTTCTTAAAGGCAGAAGTTCAGTAATAATGGTATGACTTGCTATTTAATTGTACATTATATGGTAAAACAAACAAACAAGCAAGCAAAAGACCACATTGTAAGAAAAGAAAGCACCTCAGACTCCGTATTTCCCTTCCCTGTTAAAACTCCCCGGAACAGTGGATGCTGACTTGGAGGCATACTGTAATTTAACGTACCGCGTGGTCAAGGTTAAAAGGAACAATTTTATACCGGAAAAACTCAAGGAACAAATAAGCCATAATAAAGGGATTCATCCCATTGTTAAAGGCTATCGTTTTCTGCCAAAACCACACTTGATTTGGGAAATTTTATTCAGTGTCAGGTAAATATAAACAAAGAGTGAAGAATGCTAGACAAGTTATAGCCTCATAAAAGGTTAACTTACCTCTAGTCTTTCCAAGTTATATATTAATAAAGAACTTTAGTGTTTTAAAAAACCTCTTTTCTAGTTAAGGCAAGTCACATCCAAATGAGTGAATTTTTGTATGTGTGTGACACCCGTTTATCCCACCCCCTAGCATCAAAGGCGGACCTCAATCTTCCTTCCCCCACAGGTCACCCGGCAACCAGGCACAGAAGCTATTGAAAATGCAACTTCCAATCTCTGAAACGTCAGTGAATGTTCAAGGAGGAGGAAAAGGATTGCATTGAGTTTAGAAAAGCTATTTAAGTGTTTTACCAAATGCCTGCGATTAGTACATGTCAACCTAATGGCAGAGCATGACATTAGCCGCCCCCTCCTTTCGCCTACCCACTCAGAACCATGGCAATGAATGCAGCAGAGCACTGAAGACCAGAGAGCCACGAGAGTATCATGCACAGAAAATAGGAAGCCTGCGTTGTTGTTGTTTTATATAGGGGGGGGAAAGGCAAGGGATGGCAGTCTTGTGCTTTGAAAGAACCTAGAAGCGCTTCCTAGTTCAACCCATCCCCCAATCCATGCCACCCTTTCAACTTTTGTCATTCAGAGAGAGGAGAAATTCCGGTCAACTCGCCTTGGGGGGTTGGTCTGAAGGTTGAGGACTCAAGCAGGGAGGGAGAGGGTGGAGAGAGAGAAAGAGCAAGCCAAGGAAAGATACCAAAATCTCCCACCTTTCTTAAATTCCTCCAGCATAGCGTCCAACTTGGTGTCATTGAAAACAAAGTGCAAGGGGTGGTTATAAAACTTAGTGATGGTTTTCAGGGGAGTACAGTCATCCGGATCCACGAAGGCCAAGTCTTTCACGAAGAGCAGGTCCACGATGTTGGAGCGCTCCCCCTCGAACACCGGGATGCGCGTGTAGCCGCTCTCCATGATCTCCGACATGGTGTTGAAGTCCAGGATGGCTTCGCCGGTGATCATGAAGCAGTCCCGGAGGGGGGTCATCACGTCCTCCACCGTCTTGGTGCGCAGCTCCAGCGCCCCTTGGATGATGTTCAGCTCCTCCTTGACGAGGTCGTTGTAGGGGTCCGTGACCCGCAGCATCTCCAGCAGCTTCTCCCGGTTGTAGACGGTGCCTATCTCCTGGCCCAGGACGCAGTCCAGCAGCTTGCTGACCGGGTAAGAAGCGGGGAAGGTCATCATCATGAAAAACTTGGTGAGGAAGATGGTGTTGGCGCCCACGGCCAGGCCGTGGCGGGAGCAGATGGCCTGGGGCACGATCTCGCCGAAGATGACGATGCCGATGGTGGAGACCACCACGGCCACCAGGCCGGAGCCGGCGATGTCGTCCAGCAGGATGGTGAGCGTGGTGTTGACCAGCACGTTGCCCAGCAGCAGCGAGCACAGCAGGTAGTTGCCCTGCCGGCGCACGGGCTCGATGCGCTTGGCGTAGTTCTTCTCCTTCTCGGTGCCGCAGTTCTGCACGATGCGCAGCTCCATGGGGTCCAGGGCCATGAGCCCCAGGTTGAGGCCGCTGAACATGCCCGACAGGCACAGGAGCAACGAAATGAAGATCACCTGCAGCCAGAAGGGCAGCAGGAACTTCTTCTCCTCGCCCACGATCATCTTGGTGTCCTCGCCGTCGTGGTAGATCCAGGTGGTCTCTGCCCACGGGGGCGGCGGCAGCCCGGCCACCCCGGAGCCGCCTTTGCCCCCGACGGTGCCCCCCGCGGACCCCGGGCCGCCGCCGGTGCCCAGGGCCGGCGTGGACAGCGACGTGCACAGGTAATAGGACTTGCTCTTCTCCATCTTCCGCAGCGGCTTTATCTCTATCTCGATGATGCCCGAGGTCCGGCGGTTGAGGATGATGTGGGGCAGGATGATGATATCGGACGTGCGGATGCCGCAGCGCTGGGGGCCGCTGTCCGGCTCGGGCGGCGCGGGGCCCCCCAGCCCGCGCTCGCCGGGGCCGTGGCGCCGCCGCTCGTGCTCGGTGAAGGCGATGCGGGACCACGTCTCGTTGTTGATGTTCTGCCCGTACACCCGCAGCTTGACCCGAGTCCGCTCGCTCACCCGCAGCGCCCCCCCTTCCATGAACGACACGTCGTTCGTGTCCTCCAGCCGCAACCCGATGATCACCGTCTCCTCGCTCTCGCCCGCCGCCGCGCAGCCGCCCGCGCCGCAGCAGCAGCTCAGCAGCAGCAGCGGCAGCAGCCGTTCGGCCGCCGCCTGCAGGACCCCCCGGCCGCGGGCGCTGAGGCTGCGGCGCGCCGCCATCTTCCTAGTGGGCAGTGCGGCGACTGCCTGCCCGCCCGCCATCTTTACTCCGGGTTCACAAGAGCCACAGCCAATCATAGGGTGGCTGCTGTAGCTGCGGCTTCATCCTTCCCACCCGGCGGCGGCGCGAGTGCAGGCGCCGGCCCCTGAACGAGACTGCAATGGAGCGTCCGCACCCGGCGCTCGGCAGCGCGCCTCCCTGACTGACACTGACCCGGCGCGGGCCGGCTGAGGAACCTGGAGGCTCGCGGGCGCGGGAGGGGGGAGAGAGGGAGGAGACAGCGCCAGGAGCTCCCACGAGAGGCAGGCTGGCCAGCCAATCAGGAGCGGGCGCCCGCCCTCCCAGCCAGGGGGCTGGAATGGGGGCGTGGCCGCGAGCCGAGCCGCGGGCCAATGGCGAGGCGAGGGCGGGGAGCTGAGCGCCGCGGTCCTCCTCAGCACGCCAAGTTTCCTACCGAAAGGCGCGTGACTCTTGTGTATGTGCGAGGGGAGGAGGCGTGGCCAGCCGGCCCCGAGAACCAGTCACAGGAGAGAGCTGAATGAGAGGGGCGGGGCCTCCCGTCCGACTGCCAATGAAAAGGGGCGGTCCGCGGGCTCGCGGTTCCCCGGGGAGCCTCAGTCGTAGAACCCGGCATTTGGTTTAACTCGATCGGACTCAAGTCGGGAGGCGCGAGGCGGCTGGTTACTCACTCGCTGCACCGGGTGAGAGCGCCCCAGTGTTGGGTGCCGGTGAAGAGAGGGCTGCGCCTTCCCGCCCCGGCAGCCCACTAGGCACGGCTTCAGAGGCGCTTTAGCCTCGATTGGAATGAAGCCGGGGCGCCGGCCGCGGCCCCCTCCTCTAGTCTTGCACGCCCGCTCCATCCGAGACTGGCGGCGGCCGGGCGGCCCGGCCTCGGGCTGACCAGCTCTCCTGGAGCCTTTCGCGTCTCCCCTAAAGAACGCGCGCTCTCTGCAGCTCGCGGTCAGGTGCCGCCACCTGCCGGCCGTCTGGGTGCTCTGCAGCGCTTTCCCTTGTGTGGCCCAAACCCCCGGAGGGTGTGCAACGCGTGGGACTAGAATTGAGTAATTTCTCCATCTTCCAAATAATCTACTGATAGTCTTGCTGAAAGTATATATTCCATGAACCCCCTCGCACACTTACTGAAAGGATAGGACCCGGGAGTCTATTTCCAACAGGCACCAGGCAAGTCTGGGAAATGGGAGAGAGTAGACACATGAAGGTTCTATTTTATGTTGTTTTTGAAATTGACTTTAAAGGAGGAGGAGGAAGAGGAGGGAGAGAGAGGTGAGAGAGAGGGGGGGAGAGAGAGAGAGAGAGATGCGAGAGGACCAAACATGAAACCAGAGCATGTGCCCTGAGGGAACTGGGCCACACCTGCCAGGACTAAAGGCACATTCTTAATCGCACAGACCTCATCGCACTAGGTTCAGCATCCCTCAGCAGAAAAAGATCCTGAAGACCTAGCTCCCTGGGATTCCCCAGCCCACAGTGTCTGGGGGAGATATGGTAGCAGAATAATTGGCAATTGATCTTTTTCTTGCAACTTTAACATCTAAAAAGTAATTGTTTCCTTTTTTTTATTCTGAAAGCATATTTTCTTCCCTTGCAAACCAGTCAAACATTTTACCAATTTCTGGGAGGGATGATGCAGTGGCCTCCTAACTGGCCTCTCCTCTTCTACACCTGCCCCCTTACCTTCTCAATCCAGCATTCAGTGGTCTCCTTAAAGCCGATACTGTTTGCTCCCTTGTTTGAAATTCTCCTCTGGACTTCCCATCTCATATGACTAAAAGCCACAGTACCTACATTTTCTGACAAGGCTTTAAGCGTCTGCTGCCTCCTTTTACTTCTCTGCTGCCCCAGCCAGATCCTCCTGGCAGTTCTCATTCTCGCTGGGATGCTCCCCTGGGAGCCTGTGCACCTGCTCTTGTTTCCTGTGCCTGGGCCTCTCTTCCCTCAGATGTCACCATAGCCCCTCGTTCATCTCCTTTAAGAGTACACAAAGGCCACTTTTACCTTTTTTTAGAGAATATGTTTGTTTTTGTATATTTTGAGAGAGAGAGAGAGAGAGAGAAGCATCTATGTGAGAGAGAAACACCTATCGGTTGCCTCCCATACATGCCCCAACATGAAATCCAGCCCTCAACCTGGGTATGTGCCCTGACCAGGAATCGAACCTGAGACTCTTCGGTGATGGGATGATGCTCCAACCAACCACACCAGCCAGGGCCAAAGGCCACCCTTTTTTTTTTTTTTTTTTTTAACTTGTAAACAAACACTCCCTATACGACATCTCTGATTTGTTTTCCTTAATTTAGTTTATTGTGTCTTCTTCCACTAGAACTTGAGCTTCCTGAGGGCAAGGATTTTGTCTGTTTTGCTCACTGTCATATTATCAGGATCTATGACAATGGTAGATGTTCAAAACAATAGATTGTTAAAGAAATGAAAGAGCCTGGCTAGTTTGGCTCAGCTGGTTGAGTATTGTCCCATGCACCAGGAGGACACGGGTTCGATATCCGGTCAGGTCACATGCCAGGATTGCTGACTCCATCCACAATAGGGGTTCATGCAGGAGGCAACTGATGGATGTTTCTATCTCTCCTTCTTACTTCCTTTCTCTGAAATCAATTTTAAAAACATTTAATTTTGCCGAAACCGGTTTGGCTCAGTGGATAGAGCGTCGGTCTGCAGACTGAAAGGTTCTAGGTTCGATTCCAGTCAAGGGCATGTACACTGGTTGCGGGCACATCCCCGGTGGGGATGTGTGGGAGGCAGCTGGTCGATATTTCTCTCTCATCGATGTTTCTGGCTCTCTGTCCCTCTCCCTTCCTCTCTGTAAAAAATCAATAAAATATATTTTAAAATAAAAAACATGTAATTTTGCAGAAACCGATTTGGCTCGGTGGATGGAACTTCGGCCTGGGGACTGAGGGGTCCCAGGTTCGATTCTGGTCAAGGGCATGTACATTGGTTGCGGGCACATCCCCAGTAGGGGGTGTACAAGAGGCAGCTGATCGATGATTCTCTCTCATCGATGTTTCTGGCTCTGTCCCTCTCTCTTCCTCTCTGTAAAAAAATCAATAAAATATATATTTTTAAATTTTTTTATTTTATTTTTTTGTCAATCCTCACCCAAAGATATTTTTCCCATTGATTTTTAGAGAGAGTGGAAAGGAGGAGAGAGGGGGAAAGAGAGAGAAATATTAATATGGGAGAGACACTTCCATTGGTTGCCTCCCAACAGTAACTAGAGATCGAACCTGCAACCCTTGTGCATGCACTTGACCAGAAATCAAACCCACAACCTTTTGGTACAAGGGCCAATGCCCTAACCACTGAATACACCAGACAGGGCAAAATATATATTTAAAAAAAAAAAAAGAAATAAAATAATATTTATCCTGATTATTTCAAGTAATGTCCCAATTCTAGCTTTTAGACCTTCAACTTCTGGTGCTGCTTCCCTACGCCTAATTCTCATACTTCTATATTGAAAAATAAGTTCATATTTTTAAAACATGGATTCAGAGCCCAGCTGGCTTGGATCAGTAGTTGCATGCGAACATATGAACAGGAGGTTACAGTTCAATTCCCATTTAGAGCACATGCCTGGATTGCGCGCTCGATCCCCGGTAGGGGGCATGTAGGAAGCAGCCCATCAATGATTCTCTCTCATCATTGATTTCTCTATCTCTCTCTCCCTCGCCCTTACTCTTTGAAATCAATAAAAATATCTTTTTAAATGAATTCACAGACTTGGCATGCATTTTTTTAAAAATAGCATTATTGAAGATTAGAAGGGGAAAATAAAGCTTTTTAGGAATATCTGACAAAGGTTAAGGATAGATATGTTCCTTCTAAGTTAGCTGCTTAAAAATGAAACTTTTAACTTCATAAAAAGTGTGAGTACAAGTGAGTTTAAGGGAGCTGAGAGGGAAGATGATTAAAAGCTTTCAAATGCTGAATGCACACTTTTGGGATGAGTGTGGAGAACAGGGTGGGGGAGAGTTTGCCAAACATACAGACATTTCCTGTGCATTTCAGAGAAGCCTAGAATGGTCAGGAAAATGTGGCATTCAGCAATTTAGAAGCAAGTTAGAAATTCAGGACATTTTACAATATAAAATAAACCAAACTCAAGCTCATAGGGGATTCTGAGTAATGTTTATACTGGGTAGGGGGATCATATTAGTCATGTACAGCCAAGTAATTTTTCCTTCGCAAAGGGGATGTTCCTTCAGGTTTGGAGGATTTTTAGTGACAGAGTTACCCTTTCTTTAGTGAGAGGCTTACGGTGACTTCCAGAGGCTTCCAATCTGTCTATCTGGATGAATGGAGGACAAGGGCAACATTTTCTTCCAGGGATCACTTTTTCAATCTGGAAGAAAAAAACACAATAAAACCCTGAATTCTGCCCAAACCAGTTTGGCTCAGTGGGTAGAGCATTGGCCTGTGGACTAAAAAGTCCCAGGTTCGATTCCGGTCAAGGGCATGTACCTAGGTTGCGGGCACATCCCCAGTAGGGGGTGTGCAAAAGGCAGCTGATCGATGTTTCTCTCTCATTGATGTTTCTAACTCTATCCCTTTCCCTTTCTCTGTAAAAAAGTCAATAAAATGTATTTTTTTAAAAACAAAACAAACAAAAACAAAAAAACACACACCTGAATTCTGAGCAAATTTCACCTCCAAAAGACCTATAGGAGGTCCAAGATGGCTAAATGGTTGCTGCAAATATCTAATCATAGGTAGGTTCTGACTTTGGCCCTAAGAAAGTCATTTAGGTAAAGCCAAAACCTCCTAGCAAACACCTTCCCTAACATTCTCTCTAGTTCTCTCTTCCCTGACTCTCGCTTGCCAGAATCCTTCACTAGGTACTAAAGGGAAGAGAGGCTGTTTAATTTCCTCATCTGCATGGATAAGCTCCCATGTCCACAGTAGGGTTCTTGGGAAGGCATGGCATCAGACCTAAAAGTCTTTTAATTGTAGTTCCATCCCAGAGCTTTACGTTATGATTAGGACTCCAGTCATAAAATGCCAGTTTCCCAATACCACCTGACTTCATTTCCCTGGTCTT